TTGTTCATAAACTGTCATAAGTTGAATTAAAGCTTAGCGAATAATCAACCCTCACTTGGTAAAAAAACATGGCAAACATTTTAATTAACCCTTACCTGGTAAATAAACATATATTGTTCCTTAGTCTGCACAGAGCTAGCTCTATCTCTGCGAATTCTATAGACAGTCTTCGGCAAATCAATGGTTCTATTAACTTCGAACTCTTTTATCGCGAGATCGCAAGCGATTACCGCGCCGGTACGTCCCGTTCCCGGACTGCAATGCACGACCACGGGCGCCGTCGAATATTGGGACGGCGGCTCCGAGACACTACCGTTCGGCGATTTCTCATTTATCGTAGTAAGTCGACACATAGATGTCGTAGTTGTTTTAGCTTGAGCATTTTTCGAAGAGGATTCCCCACTTGGCGATTTTTTAGCATCGCCGTTACTGTTTGGGGGCTCTGTCGGTGCCCTGTGAGCTTTCCTGGTAAAAGAAATACGATACAAGATAAATACTAAAACACTAGTCCATTAATTATTTAAAAATCTTCTTGATACTATCCTAACTTTTCTTCAAACTAATGGTGTTTTGAAATACACCTCTTAAAATAAATATTGACAAAAAACGTGCGCACCTGTACACTTTCTGTGCTTGCTGTGGAGAATAAATGTTAACTTCAGATCCTTCCTTTTTCGGAGGCTGAGTTTTTGCTACAGATGTATTGTTGTTCTCAGTTTTTTCATGAGGAGATTTCATAAAACTTCTGTTTATGAAATATTAGAAAATAATACTATATTACTAATGAATTAATATATTGATCAATTAAGTTTATCACAATAAAATACAATAAATAAATTGAAAATATTGGAAGTAACAATCACAACTATAAAATAAACATAAATTATATTGCAAAATCAATTTTATTAATGTTAAGAACGATTTTCTAAAAATTAGATTCCAGCATGCTGTAATTGCTATAAAATCTAATTTGAACCCTGAAATTATTATTCATCATGCTCTACCGCCATTTCATTAAAATCTACACAATTACTTATTTTTTTAGGTTATTTTCAAAAACGTGTTGCTGAATTAAATATTTAATTTCAATATACTTCCATTTTTATTTTTATTAAAATAGTGAAGAAACAGCAAGTAACTTGCCTTAGATATCAATATATTCTAGCAAAACAAATTTAATTCCCGTAAACATATTAGAGCGATTTAAAAATCGTGCAACCTATAACTAAGTTCCAACTCACCTTGCTTCAATCAAGAAAGCAATCATGCTTTGGTACTCCTTCGGAACTCCTTTTTCAGGCCACATATACCATAAATGCGTTACTTCCCTCCACGTGCCACTTTCCATATTACACAATTGCACATTAGAAATTACGTATTTATCCTTAACTTCGCGTTTTTTCAACGTGACTTTAAAATCACCGAACAATCTATGACAATCCAAAACTTCTGACGGTGGGAGATAGTCTGTGCATTTTTCCTATCGGAGAAAAAATAATAATGAATTTTATGGCTATACGGTAAATAATTTGGCACATTTATAGCAATCATTTAAAAACTTACCACACCATTTTCGTAAAGATCAGTCAACATTAGTATTACTTTGGATTGCTGCTCCCAAATCATCCTCCAGAAGTCATTGACAGTAGATTGCATCGGAGCCTGACAAGCTATATAATAATTCCTGATTCCTCTTGGCCCCTGAAAATAGTAATATAAAAATTTTATTTACAAACTTTCATATAAAATCATAAATAAAATTATAGATATATCTAATTATCTAATTATAGATAATTACAAAATATTACAAGCAATATTTTTTCTGGTACTGCTTTATTAAAATTTACCCTGACAAAGTTCGCATTGATATAAGCCCCAGTTTCATCCCCTGGTTTTGCAGTTAGAGGAACTCTGGTTTCAGGCAGTGGCATAACATTGGCATAACGATTCTTGACTTCACATCCAGCTGGCACTTCATCTGCTCGCACGGTCACTGTAGGGATTTCTGTGAATTCAGCAAATACTGCAGCTTCGTCCGAAATAAAATTGCTTAGAGCAGGGAAGGACATGCTGTGTGAAGTCATCCCCTGCAAAAAAGGAATTATTTTTTGTACTGATAAAATAAAACCTTGGATAACTTACAAATCTTGGATTTAGATGGAATTTTGTCTGATGATGCAGTGATATTATTAATGCAATATAATATGTATAATACAATTAGATAAAAAGGGGATGAACTATAAATAAAATGGCGTCATAAGTTTGACACACAAATGCAAATGTTTCACTTATTAAATTGAAAAGATAATTAGCCGGTCTGAGGTTTTCTATTAAGATTGGATAATGATTTTACTTACGCTATCATTGAATGCTGGATTTCCATAAGATCTCTTCGAAGCTCTGGCCCTGTTTTTGCCCCGGACGCTGCTGTAGACCGAAACGCTATCAACGCTGTACGCGTCCAGGCTGACTGGTGTGCAACGCTGCCCGTATGTACGTTTATGCTGGCGTTTCCGCATAACATACTAAAAAAATTCAAATAACTTTATTTTGCTAACGGTGTAATAGTCAGTTCAAGATCTATACATGAATGCGGCAAAGATTTTACCGCTTCAGCCCAATCAAATGAGGAATAGGGCAAATAAACAAATATACTAGTGGTGTATTGCATCGTGCCTTAAGACCAACTGTTGAAACTTTCAAAAAATAAACAGATTTTTGAGAATTATGAAATTTTTGAAAATATTGACTTT